CCTTATTACTGTACGTATCCTATAGGGTTTGCCCTTTCTCAATACCAATTTCTAAAATGTTATACCAAAATTGCATTTTGAACACTATACATATTAAATATCAGATGGAATGAATCTGTATATTTAATTTCTTAGCAGCTAACAACTCAGTATAATATAATTTTCTTTAAATACTAGTAGGTAAGAAAAGGTTGTTACAGTATAATGAATTTGACATGAAGGAATTAAAATTCCGTAATTTGTAAGAAATTCTTAAATTCAATTTTTTAAATTAAAGCAAGTTGTTTTTTTCTCATGAAATGTATCTTATTGATATAGTTGGATAAGGCCATTCTTTTAATGCCCCTTGTGTTGATATAGATGGATATGGCTGTTCTTTTAATGCCCCTTGTATTGATATAGTTGGATATGGCTATTCTTTTAATGCCCCTTGTATTTATATAGTTGGATATGGCTATTCTTTTAATTCCCCTTATATTGGTATAGTTGGATATGGTTATTCTTTTAATGCCCCTTGAAATAATAAAGTTGGATATGGCTATTCTTTTAATGCCCCTTGAATTGATATAGTTAGATATGGCTATTCTTTTAATGCCCCTTGTATTGATATAGTTGGATATGGCTATTCTTTTAATGCCCCTTGTATTAATATAATTGGATATGGCTATTCTTTTAATGCCCCTTATATTGGTATAGTTGGATAAGGCTATTCTTTTAATGCCCCTTGTATTCATATAGCTCCTCAAGTGTCCAAGTATCTAACATCCTTGGCTGTCTATACATTGTTTTAGTTTAAGCGTTCCTGATAAAAGTTAATTCAGGAAAGGGTTTCGGACGCACATATACTAGTAAGTCTTATTTTTATTTACTTAAAATTAAAAAAAAAATGAAGGAACACAAATTTAAAGTAGATTATGTTTCTAGTCTCAGTTCTATGTTATGATGGTCTGGATTAGGTGGGTGAGGGGTCACTCAATTCTGTATTCTTTAATTTTGAAGCCATTTTTCTCTATTTTTTCATTTCTTGCCCAGTTTTTTCAATTCTTACTGTGGATTCATTTATTTTCGTGGGTACCAATTTTCGTGGATGAAGGAAAACTTGCGTGTTCGTGGATATTTAATTTCGTGGTTTTGACGATGTCTTCATACAAGCCTTTAGAAAATTTGTCATTCGTTGATCTTTTAATTTCGTGGTTCACCGATACCCACGAAATCCACGAAAATTGGTATCCAACGAATAATAATGAATCCACAGTATATTTTCACACTTCACCATTCGCTATTCTTTATATATTTGGCTTATTTTTCTCTATTCTTTATATTTTTGGCTTATTTTTCTCTATTCTTTATTACTTTTGCCCATTATTTTCTATTCTTTAAACTCCATACAGACCCGCAGTTATGCATCAATTTTGAATTTAATCTGTGTGCTATCAGAAGAAGACGAATCATCTAATATCAAATTAAAATCTAAACGAATGATCTTCAACACTCACAACGAGCACGAAACTACCCATATAAATCAAAGTACTGAAGTACTGAACATCGGATGACCACAAGTTCTTGAGGATGTTCAAAAGCACTTGTCTCAGAAAAAAAAACATATCTCTTTACCTGAAACTGAGGTTAATGTACAGAGATGTATTTTTTTCTGAGACAAGTTTGTGCGTGGATGATGAATAAATGACAGGAAATTCAACTTCACCGTAATAACTATTATATTGTAGTGATACAAATCAGTATACACTGATTTGTTGTTATATATTATATTAAAATAACAGTTACATATATAAAATTATATGATTTGCATCCATTTGTATATCATTCTATTCTACTATTCTAATAATAGTGCAATGCAAGTGCATGGTGGACACTTTTCTGTAAAAATTCGATTTTTCTAAGATTGGATACGAGTAGGCATTCATATTTTCCCGCAAAAACAATTACAGAGTTACCGGTCCTTGCCGTTATTGTCGCAAAACGTTCTTTGAGATATTCTTCCGCATGCTTTAACACAATTTTTCGGTACGTGTGCATTGATATTATCAATGTTATTTACTTATATATATATATATCTAACTACAAAACATTTTCATATTATTAATTTATGTTGTAAACAAAAATATTTTTATCAGTATTCATTGAAGAGATGTATTTATATCAAACGATAAGGAATGTTATTTTGCACTCGTTTATGTGCGCATATTTATCATGTTTTTAGATCGGTTACAAACCCAAAACTAATTTACATAATGGAAATCTAGGCGATAGCAATACATCGGAATGACCTCAAGGTCATCGCGATGTAAAAAGTATAACAAAAATATCAAACTCCTAGGCAAATTCAAAGAGGGGAACTCCATAAAAACTAACAAAATCAAACGCGATCATTCAACGGAACAAGTGAAAAATAGTAGCCATAATCTATATTTTTATCATTATCATCAAAATCCTATACTATTTCAGTTTATAACTTTCTAAATCATTATATAATTTCGTGCATTGAATGTGTTTGACCATGCCAATGAAACTGCAATTTGCTTGCTGGTCATTAACATAATTTATGTATGACATATTTTGTTACATAATTGAATTCTGTTTCTTAAATATTTATGTGATAAATACTGATATTCGTAAAATATTAAAACGCTGGGTAAACAACTTGACGAAAGAAATTTCATTCTTTTAAAATTGTTTTGCACTACGGATTTGTTTAAACATCTATTCTTATGAATTTCCTGCATTCTTCATTGGTTTTTATGGTTTTGAACTGTCAATGGATAGGTATTGTTCATCTGCATAGTGATATTTAAGTTTAAATATTTGATATTTCGGTTCATTGAAATAATTGTTCTCGAAATAATTGATCATTCTTTCTTCAATTGTATTGTCAAAATTTCAATCAAGTTATTGACATGAAATGATACACTGGACATTTTTTCAATAAACATAATCTATATTTGTATCATTATCATCAAAGTCCTATACTATTTCAGTTTATAACTTTCTAAATCATTATATAATTTCGTGCATTGAATGTGTTTGACCATGCCAATGATATTTCAATTTGCTTGCTGGTCATTAACATAATTTATGTATGACATATTTTGTTACATAATTGAATTCTGTTTCTTAAATATTGAAAATAAAAGCTAGTGAACTTCACATTTCGAATGAGGCGCGCGGAAGCGCTTCATGTTAAAAATGTGATCGTAACATGCTTTTATTAAGAATAGATTTTAAAAATAACAGTAGCATTTTATCTAAAAGAACCCAGCATCTGTATGAATGGGATACCTACTGTAAACAATATAACGGAAAAAGATAAAAAAAAAAAAGATATTAGCGTTAGGCTTATAATCTAATTTTAATGTGGCACTTAATCTGAACCAGAACAGTTAATATATGTACATCATTTCTCCCTGGCGTTTTTTCAGAAGATTGATTGATTGATTGGTGTTTCACGACACTTTCAGCTCAATTTGTGCTATTTCGTGGCGGTCAGTTTTTATTGGTGGAGGAAGCTGGAATAGCTGGAGAGAAAATGACAATCCTAGTCAATTAAAATTAGAGTCGAGCTTACTACTACGTGCGGGATTCGAACTCACAATCTCATTATTGACTATATAGTGATACAGGAGTTATACTACTTAGAACACCCGGCAAACTGTTTCATAAGAACTGTTTTCTATAAAAGATTATCTTCGAACTGTATATTTAGAATTTAATTAGCTTTTATCTTGTACAAGTCAAATCAAAGACAAATGTAAGGTAATTGCACAATGTAAGGTAATTGCACTCTAAAAAAAAACAAGAGCAACCAAGGCGGCTTGATTGAGCAATAAGACAAGTTTCACACGTAGAACAAGAATTGCCTACCCTTCCGGATCACATGAGCACTCCTGCTGTGTGACATTGGGCTCGTGTTGTTCATTCTTTTTTATTTTATTATGTAATGTTCGGTTATTGTTGTTTGTCTTTTCATCTGTTTCTTTACATGGTTTTGTCCGTTTTTACTATACTTGAAATGTTCAATTGCTCCCTTGGTATCTTTTCTTTCTTCGTTTTTTAGCTGCACACAAAGATATTTATAGATGTCATAACGAGTAAGAATTTTAAAATATTGATTGGTCGAGTTATCTTAAGATGTTCGCTCCTCTTGTTTTTGAATTTTTGCCCGAAATTCGGAATCCTCTTGTTTTATCCATGTGGTGCCATTAGAAAATTTTCCCCGCTAACTCCTACTTTTCTTTTCATAATTTGATTACTTATAGTTTAAAAAGCCACATTTGAAAATGCTATAAAATCCTTGTTATTTTTTTCATATTTTTTTAAAGAAAAAGGGTGCCAATGTTAAATATATGAAAAGTCTAGAGAAATTATTTCCGGCCAAATTTTCAATGACATACATCTCGAAAATAAGCACACTGACCCTTCATTTTTTCTGCTTTTTAGTTCCTTTATTTATGTACTATCAATTTATAACAGTCTTTTAATAAGCTTGTTATTTTGAAACAGAGTAGCGAACATCCTTAATTTCAATATAATATAATACAATAAACGAGCCTTTAAATTGAATAATTCTCTGTAACTCTATTGTATGCCGTAAACAGTATTTCCTTATGGTAAACATTCTCATTTTGTTAATAGAAAAGTTTGCGACTCGTTGATCTCGTCTTTTGCACATAGAAGTCAGGTGTCATATGTCCTGTTCCGGCGTCAATCTTTAAAATCAGACTTTATAAAAGTTAGTATAAGTTATCAAAATATAATAAAAGTTGACAAAAATAGATTTTAAGATGAAAAGTGTGAGTATTTTGTGCATCTTATTGAAATAATTGAATATCTCCGTTGTCATGGAGGAAAAGTACATCGTTTTGACCTTTAAAAGTCAGCATTCACGAATAGCCACTGTAAATATCACAATAACATCTCGTGATGCTGGAGTTTGATATGAGGAATATCTCTTCATGCGAGAAATAAATAACAGGGCACAACCATAAGAGAATGTCTAGTACAAAACGTTTATAAGAGAATTATCAATTTAAAAACAATCTAGATTGTCTATGCTTATGGTACAAACATTTTATTTTTTTTTAATATTGTCACAAAGTTCCATAATATTTGACATTTGCTGTTTCTTTTACTGATATGCACACGACAGTCGGCAAACTACTATTCCGTTAACTAAATAATTTAATTATCGCAATCAACTGTCTCGTAATATTGCTATAATCAAAAAGCAAATAAGAGTAGTAATGAAAAAGATACCCATACAAATCAAGAACAAACAGGTGTCTACTGCAGTGATGGCTTCTTTCCACGTGACTTCCGATATTTCCGGATCTATTTTCATTACCATATCCTCAGACGATTTTACATTGTTTCGACGCAACCGCAATGCAATAAATTTCAGTATATCATACACTGGTACACTTTCCGGATTTGTAACAAGACCAGCTTCCACTGTCGATATCAAAACAACTAATGTTCCCATGAACAGTTGTATAATGATATAAACTGATACAATTGGAACTGATTCCGAGGTTTGGGGCAGGGAATCTGAGACGATGGTGAGAAATACAGCAAATGATAACCAGACAGTTATTGTGTAGCCCAAACGTTCACCAGTATCCGCAGGAATCTTAAATGTAAAGATGTCTAACAACGCCAACAAAATAATTGGTAGAATGATATTCATAATCGTATACAAAGGTTTTCGTTTAATCACGATTGTGAATTTTACTTTGGATATAAAACCCTCAAACTCACTAGTGGCAGAAGAGGAAGTAATTTTCCACTCACCATGACTATCCAATTCGTCAGAGAGATCTATACCGTTACTGGTCTGTGTCAACGTAATATCGTCAGATGAATGACTCCATGACACAAAAATTAGATGACATTTTTGTTCGTCAAAAGGGAAGTATTTTGAATCCAAATCGCATTTAGTCTCAAATACCTGAAAAGGTCTCCACATAATATAGCCTGAACTATGGACATAAACTTGAATAAACTTAGACCCTAGTTCTTCCAACTCGCTAAATCCATTTTGCAAAGACACGTCAGGTTTCCAAACATTACCCTGCGGTAAATACAATTTATCTAACTCATTATAAGAAGCTGGTGTCCATGTCAACAGATCGTCTTTCCATGTTATAACCAACCATCCTGTAGTTGTTAGTTTTTGTTCAATTTCATCAACATCAGTTATTCCATATAGGTTAAAGCTGATATCAATCTCCTTTGGTGCCGATTGGTTGGTACTGGGTCTTATCAATGTATTATAGTTATTTGTTGTAAAGAGCTGTGTTAGCAGGCTCTGAACATCTGTATTACTCTGCAGTATGGCTGTCCCAAACAGAGAGAAAAATATCCACAGTTGTGTTGGCTTCATATTTCATAGAACTGACTGTAAAAGTTTCAAATATAGTTTTAGATTATATGTTCTTAACATAATTACTTAGTCACGAGCTTTTTGAATTTTTGAATTACTATGCTTTTGTTTTCAAAAGGATAATAGGGATTATAGATTTAAACCGAACATGTTCTAATTTTCATTAGGGGTCATTTAATTGTTTTATTTCTTGCATACACCATGTTTGTTTTTAAAACCCGTATATATTTAAGCTTACTGGCACTTTAAGCAGTCATTGATCTACATTTCATATGGTCATAATGTTTTTCTAGGTATAAATAAATCATTAAATATATGTAAACAAATCGAATACCCTCAGAATTTGAAAACAAAATCAAAATCAAAAGAAGTAGAAATAACCATCACGAATGGAATTTTTGTCTGCAAAGTTAATTAATATTATTAGACTGAAATGTGAAGAACAAAAACCACAGATACGGGATATATGCAAATGAGACACTAACCCAAGGACGCAACGTACATCTTTTTTTTAATTCAGAACGATTTTGGGGTGTTTTCAATTGCAAAACGTAAGGAATGTTGGTTCATGGCATATTAACTGATTACGAATCAAAACAAATAGGTGATAAAAACAACCAGTGGAGATCTACACAACAAATTTGATTCGTGTGAAACATCCAATTCTTTTTTTTTTTTGCAATGTACACTTAAGTCAAATCTCTATAAATTTAAAGTTAACAAAATAATTTGGATTATCGCAACTATCCAAAAGCAAACAAAAAAGTTTTAATAAAAAAGACAATTATTAGGTCTTTCCACCTTTCCGTGGAAAGACCTATTGGTTTTCTTCTGATTATTTTTTTTTTCTTCCTCCTAATTTTTTTCTTGCGGTGTATTTTTGTTTCAAAAGATGTCGCTTAGTTTTTTGGTATATGATATCATACAGTCTATACGCTTTTGAAACTGACCCTGTTTAACCGAACACTTTTCTTTGTAAGAGTTATCTCCCCAAACACTGTTTTTCTTGTTATGAGATCTCCTCCGCAACCGTAAAAGAAAGCGACAAATTTATTTTTCCAAATTGCTCGTTATATCCTCAGGATGTTAGGTTTTATTTTGACCGAAGCCGTATAGAGATTCCATATGAGAGTTATTTCCCCTTTTGTATTTGATATAAGTGAAATGTATTTTTAACTGGAAAACCATAAGTGATAGAGGCCTAGGGTCTTTTGATATGAGGTCCTTGGTCCAAAAAAATGAAAATGAGGTCAAGGTCAAAGGTCAAGGTCATGGTCAAAATTTTGATTTTGGCTTGTTATCTCTTATTTTTAGAAATCATATAAGATATCGACAAAATATTTTCACACAATTGTTAGTTGCGACATGTCGTAACACGTAAATTTTAGTTGAAAGGGTACGTAGACATTTGATGCGAGTTTTCCCCCCTTTTATATCTAATATTAGTCGTATGGTAATAGAACTCATAAACAATATAAAGTAGAGGCCTAGAGTCTTTTGATTTGTGGTCCTTGGTTTATGACCTTGAAATTGAGCTCAAGGTCATAGGTAAATTTAACGTTCTAGATTTTGACCTTTGCTTTTACCTCATATGTATACATGATAAAGCCAAGGGACTTTTTGCATTGGGTTGCAAGCAATGTGACATTGAAAAAGTCATTCGGAAGTGACCTTTTGTAAACCGGAAGTAGCTATTTTTTGTACTAAGTTAATGTAAAAGTATTTAGAACCATATATTTTTGGAATCAGTGTCAAGTAAACTATCAAACAATACCGGAAGTAACATCTTTTAAACCGGAAGTAAAAAATTATCTCCCTTATTTATATCTTTTTGTATAAAAAAACATATATTTTTGGAATCAGCGTACAATAAGCTGTCATTTGACGCGGGAATTGACATTTAAAACAAAATTTTAATATTTTCATATCAAAATAGATCCTTACTGGTGGAAAGACCTTCAATTGTTCTCTGAACAATTGGTTTTTAATTTTATATTAGATTTTGTAAAAACCGGTTCCTTTGGGTAAATTATCGCAGTATAATTAGAGAATTAATTATTATCTAAAGTAAAAATAACACCAAGATAACAGTAATGGTTATTAGAATTGTTCTATTAAATGGAATTTAGACAAATATTTACAGTTTGGCCGTAGACTGTGTTTCACAAGTCTACAACACAGGGGTACAGTTAATGCCCATATGAATACCTACAACCTGTATTCGCACATTGATCACCATATTTTATTTGTTTGTAACAACGACTTTAATGTAAACCTTAAGACAACATATTTTTAAAGTTTCATTAGAATTATCTACGCAATATAAAAAATTGAAATTTGCTTTTAAGATTCAAAATATGTTAATCACAAAAATGATAAATAAGAGCTAGCTTAACGGAATTGGATACGGTCTGTTTTAATACAAAAATAATTTTCCATGATCTTATTTCTTAAATAATTGTTAAGCAATTAGTTGAAGTTTGAGAACACCTTTTCATGGAAAACAAGGCTGAACAGTTGATTTGGTTAGAACTAAGTCATTTCTACATTATTACACATATTAGAAATATTTAAACAATAAGAAATAGATTTTGACCTTTTTGATTTTACCGGTTTTGAAACTGACAACATACTAAATGTAAACAAGAGTGCACACGCTGAAATGTCTCGACTTCTTTACTAATCATTGATATTATGTTGATAGTTCTAAACATAAAACTTACTACAACTATCACATAAACTTAACATGATCCAAGAAAATGAGGTCAAGGTCATATAAACCAAACAAGAAATACATGTACACCTTACAATCATTCAATACACTAAATATAGTTGACCTATTGCTTATAGTTTCTAAGATACAGATTTAACCTAGAAAACTAAACATTGACTAATGAACCATGAAAATGAGGTCAAGGTCAGATGAACCATGCCAAGCAGACATGTACAGCTTGCAATCCTTCCATACAACAAATATAGTTGACCTATTGCATATAGTATTAAAAAAAAAGACCAAAACTCAAAAATTTAACATTGACCACTGAACCATGAAAATGAGGTCAAGGTCAGAAGACACCTGCCAGCTAGACATGTACACCTTACAATAATTCCATACACCAAATATAGTTGACCTATTGCATACAGTATAAGAAAAACAGACCAAAACACAAAAACTTAACTATAACCACTGAACCATGAACATGAGGTCAAGGTCAAATGACACTTGCCAGCTGGACATGTACACCTTACAGTCCTTCCATACACCGAATATGCTAGACCTATTGCTTCTAGTATCTGAGATATGGACTTGACCACCAAAACTTAACCTTGTTCACTGATCCATGAAATGAGGTCGAAGTCAAGTGCAAACTGTCTGACGGGCATGAGGACATTGCAAGGTACGCACACACCAAATATAGTTATCCTAGGCCTATTACTCATTATAAGTGAGAAATTAACATTACAAAAAATCTTAACTTTTTTTTCAAGTAGACACTGAACCATGAAAATGAGGTCATGGACAATGGACATGTGACAGACGGAAACTTCGTAAAATAAGGCATCTATATACAAATAATGAAGCATCGGGGTCTTCCACCTTCTAAAATACAAAGCTTTTAATAAGTTAGGTAACGCCGCCGCCGCCGCCGCCGCCGGATCACTATCCCTATGTCGAGCTTTCTGCGACAAAAGTCACAGGCTCGACAACAAAATGATTCGAACTCTTTAGTCAAATGCTCCATATTGTGTTAGTAAACCTTTGGTGATCAGTGGTTATTTGAAACGGAAAAAACGGAACTTTTATTCCCTGAAAGTTCAGTACCTCATTACAGGGGTACTAAGACCTAACGCTGTAATCTAGGTAAAATGTAATACAGCAGTTGTGCGATGAACTTTTATTCCCTGAAAGTTCAGAACCTCATTACAGGGGTACTAAGACTAAACGCTGTAATCTAGGTAAAATGTAATACAGCAGTTGTGCGATGAACTTTTATTCCCTGAAAGTTCAGAACCTCATTACAGGGGTACTAAGACTAAACGCTGTAATCTAGGTAAAATGTAATACAGCAGTTGTGCGATGAACTTTTATTCCCTGAAAGTTCAGAACCTCATTACAGGGGTACTAAGACTAAACGCTGTAATCTAGGTAAAATGTAATACAGCAGTTGTGCGATGAACTTTTATTCCCTGAAAGTTCAGAACCTCATTACAGGGGTACTAAGACTAAACGCTGTAATCTAGGTAAAATGTAATACAGCAGTTGTGCAATGAAGTTTTGTTTAATTGTTAAAATAACGAAAAGAAAACTAAAGTAATTTTTTTAGCTTTATATCAATGTGATGAGTCAATCTCTCATCAGATAAACAGTTTGTTTTATGCTGTGCTGATACACCACTGTCCCAGGTTAAAAGGAGGATTGGGCGAAGGCTAATTAACATCGCAGCATTCTATATGTGCCTATCCCATGTCATGAGCCTGTAACTTGATGGTTGTCGTTTGTTACTGTATATCATATTTGTTTTACGTTTATTGTATTGAACATAAATCAGGCCGTTAGTTTTCGAGTTTGAAATGTCACACATTTTGTCATAAATGTGACCTATTATTGATACATCTACGTCATTTGGGCTCTGGTGGATAGTTGTGTCATTGATAAACATACCACTTTTGATTTTAATATTAACCAAAACTTTAACAAACAAACAAAAATTCTTTCACCTGAGAATGTATTTATTTCAAATTATCACATAACGGTGTTAAGTGAAACATGATTTTCAGGTTAAAACTGTAACTTTATATACAATGTTTAATTAAAAAGATATCGCATCATAATGAAGCTGTGTCCTATATGACCACAACTTCATGGAAAACTATCTCAACCAAACACTTTAACCTGTTATGGGACGAACTAACGAAATGACGAACGGACGGTCAGACAAACAGACCAAAAGACATAATGCCCCTGTACTACTCGTATGCGGGGCATAAACACAGAATTA